TGAAAATAAAATGAAAAAGAAGGAAAATAGATGAAGAAATTACAAGGCAATAGCAACTTTGCTAAAGCATCAACATGAGAATTGCTCTCCCTATTAACATGCGAAAAGCTAACTTGTCTCCACCTAAGATGTAACTATATTATTGCCATAAGTTTGTTCCACATTCCCAGGGTTGATGAAGGATCTTTACACCACTTAATCACATTAAAGGAATCGCCTTCAATGGACAGCCTCTAAAATCGTTGTTCAAGATTAAGCACGCAAAATTTAACTCCTAACATCTCAACCGCATTTGCCTAGCACGGTGGTAGTTATCCTTGTGTTGTTCAGATGACCAGCCTTCAATGGACAGCCTCTAAAAATGTTGGTCAAAATTAAGCATGCAAAATTAACACTTAACAACTCAATCGCATTTGCCTAGGATGGTGGTAGTTATCCTTGTGTCGTTCAGATGACCTGTCGCTTATCGTCCCTCAATACTCCTTAATATCCTATAATACATCTAGTATTTCTCACACTACCATCAAAGTTGAGTTTCACCCATAATGGCAATCACAGATTCCACACTACTACCTTTCTAATATTATATTGTTTTAGATAGAATAGCGCTCGAAAATTGGTTTGAAAATGTTTTTTTGGGAATATTCTTAAAGTCCATGCTTGCCTGCACTCACCGATTGATTGCATAATGGCCAGTTTCATAAAATAATCATTTGTAGCTTTGTCTTAAAAAATACAATAGTTTCTCTCTTGACAAATCTGCCAAATGATTGTCTCTATTGTTATCCTTAAGAGTATCATGCCATCATTTTTTTTAGCAATTGAACCATTATCTCTGGCATAATCTAGGTGCATTGGATTTTTCTTATTCACGACTCCTTAATAACTAGAGTAGGAGCTCTAAATAAGGAAAAATAATAAATGGGCGACTTATAGATAGGGTAGCCATAATCGAAGTAGTTCTCATACCCAAAGACAAATATCAGGTCTTCCATGAGTCCAACTTATATCGAAACCTATCCACCATAAATTCCAAGGACATATGTGGTCTAGAATCCACCAAAGGAATCTACTTCACAACTAAGCCAAGCATCCAAAGAAATGGGTTGTTGTTGATAACAATTACTATCAATGAGCTTGGCCTTACCCATATTTTCTTGATACTAGCTGGGAATACTTCAAGAATAACCAACAGGTCTTGCACGTGCTGAAGAGAAGCGCAATTGAATAACTAAGTGTCATAAAAATAATAGAGATGCCAAATTGGGACCATCTACTACAAAAAGAAAGCCGTTTAGGAGCCCATTACTACTCACACCTTTAATTACCAAGCTAAAAGACTCAATTGCAATCGTGAAAAGCAAAAGGGAAAAGAGGATCACCTTACTAGATTACCGTAAACTTTAAAAAAAAACCCTCTATTCTGACCGTAAATTAAAATTGAAAAGTGCATCAAAGACGAGCACTCGAATATCCAATCGCGCATTCTTTCCCCAAAACTCATATATCTCATAATATCTAGCATGTAATCTAATACGCTTTCTCGAGGTCACTTTACATACTAAATCTGGTTGGCCGTTAACCTTTCTTGAATGCACACATTCTTCAGCCACTAAGATACTATCCATAACCAGTTGATCATTAATAAATGTATTTTGTGGAATTTTTAGCACACATATACACGCAAAAACACAAGAACATCAATGAGCCACTTTTGAAGTTTGGTTGTGGGTTTTAGAAAGGGACTATATACAATATATTTGGTGCTAGCATGGCATGGAGTAGTCATGTCCAACATCCACTGCTCATATTATCTTCAAAAAGTGGAGACGAGAAAATAGGATTCACTTACATTTGAAAAAGAAAAAAAAAAAAGAAGCAAGAATAGGGGAAAAGAAAAAAGTAACAAGAAAAAGAAGAATGAGGGAAAAAATAATGTAAATTATTGGCAACTACTGAAAAAGATTAATCATATTATTTTATTACATATGAATGGGCATTTTTTGTTGTAACAACAATAATTCTTGTTATTTTGAAAATAATGGTGGACCTTTTTTGTTTATGTTATTTTAAAATTGCAACCCTGTGTGATGGTCATCATACATTATATAACAGTAATTACATTGAATAAAATGTCTTTGTGTAATGGTCATTTTATTCAAGGGTGTAATTTGTATAAGTGGTCAACCTTCTACAATCAAAGTAACGTGCACCTCTAAATTTGGTTAAAAGACGTAGATCTAGTGCTGGAAACCCTGGCCTTTGAATCAATTTCAACCCTCATTATGAATTTAGAGCTCATAGAACCGTGCAGACGAATAGATCTATATAACACTTGCAAATTTTGAAAATTGAAAAGTATTACAAGATGCTCTATTTATAGGACGTGAGTTTTTTTTTTTATATCCATACATCTCGAAGTTGAGATGATCAATTATAGGAGATATTGAAACAACTTTTTTGGGTAGGTTTTTGTGTAAGGTTGATGCCTTGTATAAACTTACCCCTTCATTCAAATCATTCATAACTAATAGATGTACCAACGGGTGATTTTCGCTGCCAATATATCATATCAGCCATTATTTGCGCAGAACATACATCTTTTAAACCTCAGGGTAAACAATTCTCAGATTTCACAGTTTTTCTCTCAATATACCAACTTACTAAGTTTCAGAAACAAACATTTTTATTTTTTAATTTTTTTTTGGAGATTGTCTATAAAGAGACAATTTATCTTTTATAAATAGATGTCACAATCATTTTTGTCTCTTAAATTTAAAAAATGGTGGTTGTAAGAGTGTAATTGAATAGACAAAGAGTTTCAAAAAAAAAATTGTCAAAGTCTTACTCACCCCAAGCCATCCAATTTGATATCTAATGAGTGGTAGTGATGGTTGTTAACGTATATATATCTCTTGATTGTATGAGTATATATCTTTTGATAAGATTAAGTGTGTCTAAGATTATGATAATATTAGTTAGTAATTATCAATAACTGTTAATGTCTATTCAGAATTGTTACTATCTGTGTATTTATACAGGGTCTTGTATATTCTTTATTAATCAATAAAGATAGAGTTCTCTCTAGTATTTTGAGTTTTTAATAATTGTAACCTCCATATACAAAAATAAATGACCTCTGTGTAGACAATATCTCCCTCTTTCTTTTTTTTTTCCTTTTTATTTGAACCGAAAAGGTCACCCTTCAACAAACTTTTGGGCCTTGTCGAATTTATTGCAAGGAGACTTTTATTGCTATATCTTTATTATTTAGACATCGAAGGGTCAACTAGTTGGATAATGAGCAATATGAAGTCAATTTATGATCAATTGGTTGTTAATTTCACAAAAACAAAAAGAAAAGAAATAAACAGATTATACTCGTGGTTTTAATTATATTTCAGCATCTGTATTCAATCATATTTGACTGATTTTGGATGCACAAACTTGTGCCTTTTAGATTAAAAACCTTTTTTTAAAAAAACCAATTTTCCATTTATCTCCATTATTATTCTCAGAATATTATAATAATGCTAATTGAAACTGAAATCTATCAATGTCTTTATTGTTACCAATTTCTAATTTAAGTGAATAAATCAAGGAAAAGCATATCTCATACCAGTACGCCACAATGGCATATATCACGCATTCCTTCTGATGGTCGGTTAGAGTACCATGTGCATGTACATCACTAACTGTGATTAATCTTTAGCCTCCATCACGAGGAATGGATGGTGGTTATCCATATGGTGCATTATATGTGCGTGGTACTCCACTCCAATCTATAGGTTACTGACTTTTTTTACCATTGGGCCCCTATACTATGCTCTCATGAGAGCATTATTGCCCACTTGCTCCTAAGCCAAAGGAGTTGATTAAGAGGATTTTTTCGATCTAAAACTTTGGGATCCACATAAAAATCTCCAAAAACGTAATTTAAAAGAAAATATTTTAATTTTGAGGGCCAAAATTTGGGAGCTTAAAAATACTCCAAGACTAAGTTCTAGCTGAGGGAGTGGAGGGAAGAAATGATTATTGCTCTAGAATTTGGGGGCCTAAAAATACTCCTAATCTAAATTTTCACGGAGGAATTGAATGGAGGAAATGCACCGGCAGGATCGTAAAATATTCCGGCCCTGCGATTTGCAATTTGGGGTGAAGCAAAGGGGCTTGGTCATCCATGATTCTTGATTGCCAATAGATAAGTTGAACTGTTCATTGAAGTCTTGAAACAGCTGTAAGGTAGGAGAGGAGAACAAAATGCTCCATTTTTTTTTTTTTTTACAGTTCACAAAACTTGGGGCACAAATTCTACCATGAAGAGCACGTGATTTTAAGAGGACATAAATAATATATGCTGTGTTTTTAATTTAAATGAATCACAAATTTCGGTTTGTTCATCAACATCGAAAATTTCTTTTAATGGTCTTAATTCTACAAACCCTCTCTTAATTTTTCATAGGGGAGGAAAATCATAACAATCACCCTAAACCAATTTATCTTGAGATGTTCAATTTGAGGATATTTGAGCATCAAAACAATCTCTTCTAGTCGAATGTTTTTAGGCGGGCTCTAATTTGATTGGTTCGAACAACTCTATACAAACTTTTTATTCATATATATATATATAGAGAGAGATAGATGGTTCTTTTGCACAACCATCCTCAAAATTATTGTAACAGTTGTACTTTCACCTCTCTTAATTTAAAGGAAACAAAAACGCACAACCATCCTCAAAATTATTGTAACAGTTCTGTTTTCACCTCTCTTAATTTAAAGGAAACAAAAACCAAACTAGTTACATGATCTCAAACCTAAACAACTCCAAATCTTAAAAAAAGAAAGAAAAAAAAAACATGAATGAAGATATCACCTCCAGCTCAACCAAAACAAAGAGGAAGAACAAATAAAAGTTATATATTACAAGTTCAAGAAAAAGACATAAATATAGAAGTAAATAAACCCCATAGTAAAAGCCCTTAAGCAGATCAACACTAAGCTTATGACTTCCTAACCTTGTGCTTAGATCTCATAAGCATACCACAAAGGCCACAGCTATGAAACTTTGGTGATGGAGGGCTACCAGGAGAGGAGTTCACCACACGAGATGGGTAAGCGGGCCCGGTCATCCGGTTTCTCTCCAGCATACCCACAGACCCGACGCTCTTGCACTGCCTCAACTCATTGTCAGTCCATGGCTTCTCTTGTCGGGATGACGGCCTCAATTCCCCAGAGAATAATCGATCATCCCATATCAAACCCGACGACCCCTGCCTTCTAAATGAAACAGCCGATCGTGGTAACCCCGCCATCTCTCTCTTTCTACTGTGGAACTAGTTCCTTGGTGCTCTTCTTCTCCTGTGATGGAGTATTCTCTTGGTCCTCTCTTTTTCAAGAGATGGCTACACTGCTCTCTTTCTCTCTCTATACCTCTCTTTCTCTCTATACTTCTCTCTTCTTTAATGATGAGGGAGCAGGCAATTCTATCCTCAATTTATTTGTGCCCGGAGGAGAAGGTGCCGGAGAAGATGTCAATGTCAGCATTAGGAGAGAAGGGGCCATTACAAGGCATCTCTCTCTCTCTAAAGTGGCCATTTCAAAGCATCTCTCTCTCTAAAGGGGCCATTTCAAGGCATCTCTTTCTCTCTAAAGGGGCCATTTCAAGGCATCTCTCTCTCCTCCCCCTCTCTCTCTAAAGGGGCCACGTAAAGGCATCTATCTATCTCCTCCCCTCTCTCTAAAAATCTCTCTCCTCCTCTCTCACTCCTCCCCTCTCTCCTCCCTCCTCTCTCTCTAAAACTACCCCTCCTCCCCTCCTCTCCTCCCCTCCTCTCTCTCTCTCTAAAAATCTCTCTCTCTCTTACCCCCACGTATCGACATGCTTAGGTTGGTACGAATTGAACCGCTCTTCATCCGGACGCCTTACGAAGAGGCGCACTCAACTCTATTTTTTGCATATGAGAGCACAGCAGGTCAAGTGCGACGCACGTAATACTTTTATACGAGCACACTGTATACTTGATCTGATAAAGGGAGAAGTTTTTATAAGGTTGCAACCTTAAAATGTAGAATCACAGATGCACCTCAAAAATCTATCGAAAATATTATTTTAATGTTGAAAAAACCCTCTAATCAATTATCTCAACATCGAAATCAATGAATATGAAAAATAAAACCTTTTGAAACTTGTAAATAGTGCATCTTGCAACACATTATCTAGACCGTCCATTTTCAAGATTTTCATATATTTATATATCTACTTGATTTCAACCATTTTTGAAATTTAAATTTTCTAATTAGGTATGGAAAAGGATTTTAAGATAATACTAAGAATTTTTTACAACAAAAATTCATGTTATGATAAAATTTTAAGGTGCGCCTCAATAGGATTGTTTAAGGTTGCAACCTTATAGAAACCGCACCCTCATTAATTTTGAATAGTTTTTATCTAAAATTTTGGCAATTACTTAAAATCACTAGGTGAATATATTCAAAATAAAAAAAATTTGGACAACCACTTAAAATCACTAGGTGAAATATATTCAAAATAAAAAAAAATTGATTGTTGAATTTTACAACTCTTAGATTCATCCTTTACAAATTGGGCGGTTGCTATTCAAACTTAAGACATTAATGTTTTTGAAGTCCATGAAAAATGTAATTTGAAAATCTTCTTTTAACTGATTATAGCATAGCATAAGGTTTGAAGAGGTTGCATTCTCAAAATTTGGGGTTGTAAAAATTCTACTAGGTTCCGCCCTAGGGAATAAGTAGACAATATGCTTCCTCGGGCGCACATGAAATCTTTTAGGCAGGGTTGAATGGCATCCGACTTTTTCCTAATAAATTCATTCCACAAGAAAACAATATGATTTGCGACACACGAAAAATAAGATAAATTCAACAAGTGGGGTGACCTCCAAAGAGGACAATTCCTTGGAGACTTTATTTCTTGACAACATTCCAACTCTTAACCTTATAATACCCTAAAATATCCTTACTTATAGAATAGAATTGCACTTCATCACATTCAAAATTATTATTATTATTATTATTATTAAAAAATTTATGCTCTAAAAATAATATATATTAATACTCTCTTTACAAGTGTCTATCTAATTCTTTATTTTAGCTATATATGAAAAATAATTTTGAGAGGTCAAGGTACCTAGTACGAGCACTTTCTCTCTCTCTAAAACCTCTTTCTCTCTCTTGAGCTTCTTGTGAGCTAGATGCAACGGACTTACCTCTCATCTCTGTGAGAGTCCTCTAGTGTCACAAGATAAATTCTAGCACCTTGTTGTATCTCGCAAAAGTTTCTCTTTCTCTCTAGATTATTTGCTAACCATTATTTTGCAGCAAGCTTATTTTTTCTTTTGTGTAATATATTGTTGAAAAATTCATTCTCAACAAGATTTTCTCTCTAGAAAAGCAAAAAAATTGTACATGTAACTTTTTATTTATATTTTGCATATGAAAATAGTACTTGAAGGTTGAAAAATATTGTATAAACCAGGGAAAATTATTGGACATCATTTTATTTTGATGTGATGATTTATAATGGGTTTTTGATGGGTACATGCTTGCTAGATATTACATTGGGGTTTGTTTAGAAGAGGTTTACAATAGTTGCAATTGATTTTAGACTTTAATATTTTTTTGGATAACAAAGTTAGTGATCTTTCTACATACTCTTGAATCCTAAAAAAATTTACAATAAAATTTTATAAGTGTTTTGGTAATTGTTGCATGCTATATATGTGTTGATATTTCCGATTGAATGTAAAACTCAATTTGCTCGATCTACTTTTGAAAACTAAAAAGATCCACTGTATTTGAGCCAAATCACCTAGGACTTTTCAAGGTTTTCTCGCTCCAGGCTATCAAGGGATTTTTTTTGTTCAAGTGATTTTTCTCTAATTTCCAATGATTTTTTTTATGATTTTTGTATGTGAATTATGCGCGATTAGGGGTGTTTTTTTTGTAGGCTCTAATTTGGGCCTAATCCAATTCATATTAGGACTCTTAGGACTTCTTATAGGCTTTAAAGATTTTGACTAATTGACTGGTCAAAATAGATTAGATACCTATTAGGTATAGAGTTTGTAGAAAATCGTTGAAAACTACTTTGTAGAAGCAGAATTAGAGGTTGGGCCACTATTGAAAAGCTTTTATCTGGTGAGTACATAACACCTTCAAAAATCAGGGTTGTTTTTGGTGAACGTCGCAGTTTGCATTGCTGGGTCCATTTGGGCGATGCATCGCCGAATTAAATTCAGTATAAATTATTTCAGTATGAACTGAACCCTAGGTTGATCTTTATGTGGTGGTCTGATTTATTTTAAGCGTTGTAGAGGGTTTTGACATGGGTTTTTAAAGGTTTATGTATTGTTTTGGATAAATTTGAATCAATAAAAAAAGCTTCAAAGAGATTCAGGTTGGCTTTAGGTTTATGTACCTAGATTTGGGTAAATTTGTAATTTGATGTTTTCTTACCGATTGTGGACTATTGGTTATGGTGCACTATAGTTCACTAAGCTAGTATGGTCCCATGGTTCAGGGTTGGAAGTTTTTGGGAGTTTAGGGTGTTTTAGAATTAAAAAAATAAGTCAATTCCAAATTTGGCGTCTACAATTGTGTAGAGAGAGAAAATTGTATATGAGGAGAGAGAGAAAAAGAGATTCCATTAGGGTTGTGTTTGTGTAATGCGGAGAAGAGAGAGCCACAGCAAGATTTATTGTTTGGGTTATATATTGTTTGGGTTATATATATATGGATATGCGATTGTATAATATAAGATCATTTATTATTTTTATAAGAAAGTCACAATTATTTTTTGGCATTAAATGTGAAATCCAATAGATTGAAGTGTGGCACAACATTCAAAGGAATTTTATTTTGAATTTTGTGCTTAATGACACATTATCTTTGCAACCTTAAATAATCAAATTAAGGTGTACCCCCCAAACTTGGTTAAGTGATACAATTTTGGTATTGAAAATTTTTTGGATGGTGTGAGACTATTTGATTATTTAAAGTGTAACCCAAAATGTGGTCATGTGATGCAAATTTGGTGTCGAAAATTCTTAGGGTGGTGTGAGTTTGATTATTTAAAGTGTACCCACAAACTTGGTCATGTGATGCAATTATAGCGTTGAAATTTCTTATGATGGTACAAGATTCTATTTTTATCTCTAATTATAAAATTTTAAGCTCCCAAATAGTTTAAACCAAGTAGATATATAAACGCATGTAAATCTTGAAAATAGATGGTCTAGATAATATATTGTACAATTTACTATTTTTAAGACTTGAAATCTTTGTTTTTTCTTCATATCTATACACGACGAGATCATCAATTAGATATTTTTCCAACATAAAAACAATATATATATATATTTATGTATCATCATCATTATAACTTTTTCCAAATTAATAGGGCATTGACTATGTCAATCATATCCTCCATTCTGCACTATTAAATGTCATACCCTAAGTGAAGTCATAAGTCTCCATATCTTTTTAGACTACTTCCAACCACGTCATTTTAGGCCCACATTTTACCCTTTTCAATCTTTTTCTTTGAACTGACTCGTACCTCCTAACAGGTACTGTACTGGGTCAGTGCCATATATAGCTCAGCTAAGTCTATTATCTTATCGTATCATCTATTGATGACATACCTAAATTTTCAAGAATGGATTCATTTCGTATTCTATCTCTTCTTGTCTTGCCACTCATCCATTTCGACATCATGATCTCTACCACACGCATTCTATATGTATATTATTTTTTATCTACCCAACATTCCTCCCTATAGAGTAAAGCTGGTCTCACAACTGTCATATAGAACTTGCCTTTTAGCTTTGTTAGTATGCAGCAATTATGTAGAATTCCAATTGCACATCTCCACTTCGCCCATCGCGCTCTTATTCTTTATGCGATATATTCCTCAATCTCTCCATTTTCTTGGATTATCGACCCAAGATATCGAAAGTGCGGTCTTTATTATACTTCTTGGCTATCAATCTCAACTACTTCCTCGTCTCTACTCCTATTATTGCTAAACTTACATTCTATAAACTCTGTCTTAGTTTGGCTAATTTTATCACCTTTGCATTCTAGAGCATCATTCCAAAGTTCTAACTTTGTGTTTACATTGTTTCGGTTCTCACCGATCAAAACCATGTCATCTGCGAATAACATGCACAATGGTACCTCATCGCATAGGTATGTAAGTCATCAATAACTAAGACAAATAGGTACATGCTCAATGTTGATCTTTGGTGTAGATCTATTGTCACTGAAAACTCACTCGTCTCTCCATTAGTTGTTCATACACTAGATAGCATTTCATCATATATATCTCTCACCAAATTAATATAGTGTCTAGAGACTTATTTCTTTGTCAACATCCATCAAATCAAATCAAATCTCGTGGTAATCTATCATAAACTTTTTCTAGATTAATAATGACTATGTGGAGGTCTTTTTCCGTCGCCCTAAACTTCTCGATCAGTTGCCTAACAAAGAAAACAGCTTCGGTTGTTGACCTCTCTGGTATAGAACCAAATTAGTTTTTTGATATACTCGTTTCATGCTTCAGTCTTTGTTCAATCACCCTCTCCCAGAGCTTCATAGTATAGCTCATGAGCTTGATCTCCCGATAATTCACACAATTATGTATGTATCATTTGTTCTTGTAAATCGGTATCGGTACCACAATACTTTTCCTTCATGCATCTGCTATTTTCTTTGTTCTCAACACCTTGTTGATCAACTGCGTTAACTAGTCAATGTCAATCTTGTCCATGCACTTCCAAACCTCTATCGGGATGCCATCTGGTCCAAAAGCCTTTTCTATCTTCATCATTTTCAAAGTTTCTTTTACTTCTGAAATCCAAATCCTACGAATATATCTATGATCTACCCATCATTTATACCAACGGTTCCTTCTACAGCTATGTTTCCACTGTGTTCGTCATTTAATAGTTTTTGTAAATAAACTCTTCACCTTTCATTGAACTTCCTTCACTACGACACTTTGATCCTCACTCATACTGCATTTAATATGGTTTAGATCTCTACACTTTTTGTCTCTTATTTCTGCTAATTTGAAGACATTTTTTTCACCTTCTCTTGTTCCTAGTTTATTATATAGATTATCATATGCCTTAAATTTAGCTTTATTTACTATTTGTTTATTGTTTTTCTTAGCATTTTTATATTCTTCTAAGTTTTAATCATTCCTATTACATTTCCAAGGTTTATAACATGATTGTTTTTCGCTAATGGTCTTTGGAACCTCATCACTCCACCACCAAGTTTCTTTTTTGGAAGAAATTCTCCCTATAGATTCTCCTAAAACTTCTTTCGCCACTTTCTTAATGTAGTCAATCATCTCATTCCATATAGCATTGCCATCATTATCAAAGTTTCATTTTCCTTCTTCAACTAATTTAACCCTAAATAAGTCTATTTTCTAAATTTTTAAATTCTACCACCTAGTTCTTGGAAACCCATTACTTTCACCTCTTCTATTCCATGTCTTTATGTAGATGTCCATAACCACAATCCTATGTTGGGTAGTCAAACTCTTTCCTAGGATAACCTTGCAATCTTTACATGATGGTAGATCTACCTGTTTTACTAGGAAGAAGTCTATATGGCTTTTATGTAATCCAATTTTATTGGTTATTAAATGTTCGTTTTGCTTTTTAAAATAAGTGTTTGTTATTGCTAGGTCGTAGGCTCTAACGAAATCTAGTAGTCTCACCAATTTCATTTCTTTCTCCATTCCCATATCCCCCGTGTACCCATTCATATCCTCTACTATCATTCCCAACATGACCATTTAAGTTCCCTCATAAAAAGATCCTCTCTCCATTTGGTATGTCATTAACTAATCCATCTATGTCCCCTAATACAAGTATAATTAATAGGAATCTATCACTTATTCGTTTTACGTTAACTACTTTATCTTTTAAATCTTTGTATACTATTAGGCCTACACTATTTTATTATTATCTTTTCCTGTATACCAAAGTTTATACCCATCTATTTCTTTAGCATTTTCTCATTTCCATTTAGTTTCCTATAGACAGACTATGTTACTCTCCTACGTCTTATTGTATCCACTAACTCCATACTCTTACTTGTAAGCGTTATTATATTCCATGTGGCTAGACAAATCCTACTCTCTTAGACTAACTTCTTTACCCATATTCCAAGATGTCGCGGGAACCGTTGCCTAGTTTTCACCGCAATTGGGTGGAACTGCAACACGTCACTTCTAGGGAATGCCCTAAGTAGCCCTTGCTCATTTGTACCTACGGTCAGGTACAACACGTCAGTTCTAAGGAATTCCCTAGCTTATTTCTCACTGTACCCGGGTTCCGGTATTGCACGCCGCTTATGCGAAACACCCTAGCATTAATAGATACTGTAAATTTGATATTCACGATAAGTTTTAGCAAGATTTTATATTGGCTGTCTACTTAACACAACCCAGCCCCTGTACTGAGGCATGGGACGGGTTCAGGGAACGTTTAAGGTCATCACCCTTCTTAGACCAATAAATATGGCTTTATGCATATGAGAGATAAATTCTAATACATGCATGTATGAAACATTAACTTGTAATAATTAAAATATGTACGAAATATATCATATTTATTATATAATTTAAAGAAGGGTGGGGATTGTGTACACACCTTATACTATACAAGGATAGTGCATCTCTACATTTTGCTAAAAGATATAGTTTTGGTGTCATAAGCCTTACAATGACTTAAAATCTGTGTTCAACCTAATTATGAAATTTAATATTGAAAAATGATGCAGATTAAGCAAATCTATAAACACTTAAAAATATTTAAAAAAGACAATCAAGATAACTTGTTGAGATGCACTGTTTTTAAGATTTTAAGGTTTTTTTTTTTATCCTTACATCATGAAGTCCAAATGATCAATTAGAAGGTTTTTCAGTAAAGACTGCACCCCTATAATATAAGCATGCTGGACACTGTTAGTATAGACAAATCGTATAAAAAAATGCCATAAGCAGAGAAAATTAAGTCTCAATTACGAGTTGGAAATCCAAGTACGACCAACAAAATCAACATAAAGTTTCGAAAAGATTAAACGCCATTTCTTAGTGACTAGAACTATTTTTAGATTTGCCAAAAGATTTAATTGCTCTAGTGGGAGCATAATGTAAATTTACTCCCTCGTGTAAAATTCAAACTCAAAAGTACCTTTTGAAGACCAAATTTTGGAAACGTAACTTCTAAAACGTAATAGCCAACCTCAATTATTATTATTAGTATTATTACTATAAGTAATAATAATAATAATAATAATGATAATGATAATGATAATGATAATGATGATGATGATGATGATGATGATGATAATAATAATAATAATAATAATAATAATAATAATAATAATAATAATAATAATAATAATAATAATAATAATAATCATCATCATCATCATCGTAATAATAATCACGCTTCATTTGCTATAAAAAAAAAAAAAGTAAAATGGTATGATAGGGATGCAACCCTAACAAAATAAATAAAGCCTTGCTTCATATTTCATAAAAAAATTAAGAAAAAAATTATGAAAGGTTCTACATCGAGGATGAAGTTTCTATATAGCCTAGGCTTTATGAAAAAACAATAAAGCCTCACCACAAATCCTCGTCCGGAAAGCACTTTCGGCAGCACAAATCTCCATGATGGCTCTAAAGTCAATTTCTAATACTGACTAAAATTTGAGAGTAAAAAAATGGTAGAGATATTGCGGATCTATGACCACTTATTTCTTGGGCGAAATGGATGATCTAGATAATCTCTTACAATATACACTATTTTTAGAGTATGAAATCCTTTTTTTTTTTCACAACCATATTGTTCAAGTCAAGATAATTGATGTAAAGGTTTTCTAATGCTTGAATTGCAATTTTTGATGATTTATAAGGTGAAGCTTTACTTGTTTCGAGAGGGCTGTAGCCCTATCAAACTATTTTCCTTACATCAATTATCCAAGGTTGAACATTATGGTTATGGAAAAAAATTAGGATTTTGATATCTAAAAATCGTGTATATTGTAACAAATTATCTAGATCATCCACTCGCCCTAAAAATAAGTGTTCATAGATCAACAAGACTTGTATCATTTTCTGAGTATTTTCTGAGTTCCAAGTTTTATTGTCCAGTGTTGGAAATTGATTTTAGATCCATCACAGAAATCTCTATTACTGAAAGTGCTTTCGAACAAGGATTTGAGATGAGGCTTTATTTTGTTTTCATAAAACCTAGGCCTAATAGAAACTTCTTCCATAAAAAGAATGTCACAAGTTTATTTTCCTTAAAATATCTAGTGATATTTACATGGATCCTCGAGGGAGTTGATGCATTGCATGGTAGAACATGCCATACGCTGATTTTATGACCATGACATGTCTAAGATACGCACAAAAAAAACTCAAAAATTCAGTGGCTCTCCAGAATGAAGTGAACCATGAAAGAAAAGCAGTAGAAATATGAAAAGGAAGGCGAGTTACAAGAAACAGAACCTACTGGATAAGCAAAAGGTCCGATGAAGCTGATTGGTTGCCTCACCATTCATCCTCATGCTTACGTGGTAAGTGATTTCAAATGAATCAAATATCCCAAGCATACACAACTAAATCTGACAGCATCCTGTGAACAGAAGAATTCATCTCATCTTGTAATATAAATTTACATGCCAAGTGGGTAGCCATTAATTGCACGAATGAAGATGTTCAATCTTGATCATATCAGTTAGGCATGGCAAGAAGAAGCATCGCATAGTAGGAGAATAGAAGTAGATAGAAATCTTGGTGCCCCTTCAGAAAGTGTATCTTGTTCCCATGGTTGCTGCTCCCTCAAGGTTTGGATCTTGCCAATACTTTGGCCAACATAGTCCAGGGAAATTCAGCCAGAAATTTAGTGCTCAGCTTAATCATGGTCCATTCAACACTACACCAATGAGAATATGCGGGGAAGTACACTACAATCGAAATGTCCATGTGAAACTGTAGCCTGTTGAGGTCATCTATAACCCTAAGAAATAATGGGATGCTGATAACCGGAGAGTGGGACAGACCCAAAGCAAGACATGCACCCGATGTTCGACCCACTCTCTCTCCACCTTCCATTTGATTGGAAGACAAAGAACCCGTTGACCTACAGTTTTACATATTCCCTGTATTGATCTGTTGCTGAGGAAGGCCCAATCTTCTTTCATTGCTCTAATTGAATTTTCAGAAGCCCATGCACCTCTCACTAACCATTACGACCCAGTAGCTGAAGCTTTGCAAGAAAAGAATCAGATTAGAAAAAAAAGGACAAAAATAGGAGTGTCAAGAAGCTATTTCCTGTGCTTACTACTCCCCATCCTTGAGCCTTCAGCCACTGAGCCATCAACTGCAGCTATAATATGTGCTTCCTGTTTGTGACCCCTCACTGATGCCCTAACTTTCCTGATTATTTGCTGCTTCAGCACTCTACGCTCTGCACTGGAAAGATTCTTACACTTATCCAACCCCTTAACAAAATTCACAATAATATCCTTAATTTTGGAATTGTTCTTATCGAGTGCTATTTTCTCGATGACTTGAAGGGAGAAGATTTTATCAATGCATGCCTTGCTGCCGACCTCAACAAGATCTTGAAGGCATAATAAGCTAACCTCCTTTGTCTTAATTGATTTGCTATTGAGAGAATGAACCAACTTCTCAATTTGGCCAGTCCGAAGGATTTGATTAAGAAGAAGAGGCCCACCCTCCCCAAAAAGCATCTCGTGCACTGAAGTGTATGCTGAGTCTTGCAAATCTTCCACATTACAATGCATCATCTTAATCAAAGCCTGAATAGTGTCATAATCGAGCATCTTACGAATGCAAGGTGCACCACCAAAGCAAGAGAGTTTCATGAGCAAAAAGGCGCTCTCTGATCTCATCCCATCAGGATTCCCATATTGTAAAAGGGACACTAACTTCCCTATCAAAGGACTTAGCAATATCATTTCTCTCACCTTGGGCTGATTAGCCTTCTCAAAGAAAGATATAAGCTCTTGCATAGCCTCCATAACCCTCCTACTGTCTTTCTCTTGCATCTTTCGAACAATGTCCTCAAATTTGTGTGGTTTTGGAGACATTGGGACGTTTCTATCCAAGAGAGTAAACTTCTCTAAGCTAAGCCTAGCTTGCCATGGCAAAAGGTTCAAAGTCCCAGGTCTAAGACAATCGCTAGCATGAGTTCCACCCAGCTCGTAAAATGACTTCAAGGCAACCATGGCATGATGTTGGGTAACCTCAGAACCGCTTTCAAGTAGTTTGATAAGCTTCTTATCAATGCCTGAGGCAAACATCCTCTCCACAGCCTTTGACTTGCCTGCCTTAGCCAAGGACATTAGTGTAGTAAATAAGCTATCATGCCACTCTTCTGCATCAGGATCAAGCAATTCTGCGAGCTTGTTCATGGGTATCTTAAGTAACACTTTATTTACTGTTTTTTGGCTTCCATACTCTGCAAGCTTTGCCAAGACACCCGATACATCAGTTTGGATAACTGGGTTGTCACAGTTTTCCAAGAGATTGGCGAGCTTATCAATCGCACAGACATCTTCAAGAGATTGATGGTATTGGCGATAATCAGCCCTGCTAAATATGTTCACCATGCACCTAGCAGCTGATGCTCTGATATATGGAGAACCAATCGATATTAGTTCCACTATTCTTGGTCCAATTATACTTCTAAAGCTAGCGCTGCTTGCTTCCAAGTCGGAGACAGATTTACTAGCCATAAGAGCATTGACTATGGCTTCTAAAGTAACGACTCCCAACCTTTCCTGTGATATACTGAGGAAACTCATCAGTTTCTCTTCTGCTGCTATCTTCACCTTCTCTTTCCCAAAGGCAAAAAGCCATGGGGCAACTGATGCTGCACTTTCTGAACTAGATTGGGTTAAAAGAATGTTAACTGCTTCATCTACTTTGCTATCAAAATAAAGAGAAACCATGTCATGTACATAGTACATTGGATATGAATCATCTTTGATCAATAGAGAGCCTTCAACAAGCTTACAGACCACCAGAGAGAATACACTAGCTTGACCTAGAGAGTACCAAAGAGCTTCAAGGCAGGCCTCAGGGACTGGTTCTGCTAAATAAACAGCTGCAAGTGCAATAAATAGTCTTTTGGAGTGTGCAGGCATGGCTTCCAAACTAAATTCAAACGATCCAAATACAGTAACTGCATTTTCTGCCTCTTTCTCATTCACATAAGAAACAGGGCCTGGTGCACATGTTGCGTAAGTGGAAAGATTGTTTATGGCATTTTCCCACTTCTCTAGCCTGGTCTCTTTCCTTAGAGCCTTCCCCATGACTGCAATCGTAAGAGGGTGGTGGCCACAACGTTCAAGCAAGCGCTCCCCAACATCCTACAAACAGGCAGTTACTTCAGCAATCTGATTAGAGACAAAATAGTGCATTAAAATTACCATACATTTTGTGAAGAGCCCATGGTGCATGACAGTGTAGAAAAGGAACTTCTTATGACTAAAAAACTGAGTCAAAGGCCACTGATAAGGAGCAACACTGAAATTTTTTCTCATAAAGCATACATAATATGATTAATCTGAAGAGGATATAAAGTTTCTTCATGGGAGACCACTTCAGTCATGTGTATTTAAAAATGCCACTTCCTGCAATCGATTCTTGTTCACGTCAATAACAGTCACAATGGTGATTCCACACAGCATCATAACTATATTGATTCCATATTCTAATGAAATCCTTAACTCAAGCAACAAAACCAATTTTCATTTATACTTCGATAGAGAACCCATTATTACCCGTAGTTATAGAATACATTATTTATGAGAAGTCAGTGGAATTTGTGTTTCCCCTTTTCTACTAAATGTTTTGCAGGCAAGAGCACCAAGCGACGGGTTTGTCATGGTGATGTCAGGTTGCAGGGGAGCACCATATATAACATGGTCTTGAATAAAAAATATCTCGGATGGTATATCATCGATTGCTTAAAACAAAGCTCGGCTAAGTCTCTTAAAGCTAAACAAACCTAAAAAAGTCTATAAATTTCTCCTCGATGTAGGACCAAGGGGTTGGTTATACATGAGAGTGAAACACATAAGATGGGCTAGGAAGGATTGATTGGGTTTGGATTGTGAGTTCTAAATTAAGACAGCAATTATGTGCCGTAAAGGTTTGTAAGTCCCTTAAAGATTATAACAGCAGAATTTTTTCCATAAGATGGTCTCCTAATTTGGGTAGGATCGAATAATATCAGGTCAAAATAAAGTTGAACAAGGTTTAGGGCTATGGAGAAGGGGTAGGTTCCATTGGGGTTCTTTCGGTAGGTTTCAGGGTTTCTAAAGGGTTTAAAGCATGCTGGAATTTCTTAGTCCAACAAGGTATAAGAGTAGTAAGATCGATTTTAGGGTTGAGTAAGGGAAAATCTAACGTTTGGGGTTACAGGGGTATGGGTGATGGGTTTCGGGAGGTGTTGGCTAGTTAACTAAGGTTCTAGATTGTCCATTTAGAAGAGTACAAGAAGGGTGATGAATTTGGTTGCGCAAAAATCTTGATTAGCCGATGTGCCACACAAGCGGGAAAGAAAAAAGGGCCCAAACTTATGTGGGGAGAACCCCCAAGCCTTAAGTTTTGCTTTCAGGGAATAAATCCACCAGAAGAAACAAAATGGACTCTAACCTTAAGTAGAGACACTTGCAGCCCTAGGTTAGAGCTGTAGAACCACTTTTTGAAAATTACCCTTTCTACAAAATGAGTTGAGTTGTCTCTACTTTAAAGTTGGCCTCCCACCACAATTAAAACACAAATTTTATCACTCGAATTGATTTGAACATAACCTACATGGGTATTTAGAGAGGTAAAAACCCCTCTTTGTTTGACTAAGCTTTGAACTCAAGCTATCTATACTTTCTTGAAGTTTCTAATCATGTAGATTCTTTCAAAATTAGGTACAGAGTTCCTTTATAGTTTTAGAGGAATTTGACTCCTAAAAAACATGGAAAGAGCTACATTCTTAAACAGGATAGTAAACTATCTTCGAATTTAACATTTGGAAAAGAATAACAACTTGCCAAAAACTGTAAAGGAGTTTAACCTACCAAAATTAAACCTAAACCTAATTAATAGTAAAATAGTTCATATACTATGCTTAGGGCAATAATGTAAACTTGCTCAGTTAGGTGAAAGACCTACTTGGACGGCTTTTTTTCAATCTGAAATTTTGGGATCCACCAATAAATCACTATACGTTGAGATAGATGAGTGGTAAGACAAGAAGTGATAGAACTCGAAATGAATACATTTAGAAGAATTTAGGTGTGGCACTAATAGGCGATAAGATAAGATAAAGTAGAATTAGGTAGGCTGGCCATGTGTAGCGCAGACCTAGCACAATACCTTTTAAGAGTTGCAAGTTAGTTCGAGTAGAAAGCTTAAAAAGGGTAAAGGGTAGACCCAAAAGGACTTTGGTTAAAAGTAGTAAGAAAAGATACTAAGACTTATGGCCTCACTGAGGGTATGGCCCTTGACAGAACAGAATAGTGGACTAGCTTTTGTGTAGTTGATCCCAATTAGTTGGGAAAAGACTCCGGTAAAGATGATGACCAAAGAATCACTATACAATAGTTTCATAAAATAAGTTTGGATTTTGAGTTCTTCATCACATAGATCTCACCCTCCAAAAATTGGACTGCCAATTGGGTAGATACAAAGTGCGGTCTGAAAATGACTGTCTTTTTTTTTTTCTTTAAGGTTAGTTAAGAAGTTATATCCCCAAAATTTGGGGTCCTTAGAGTAATTCTAGATTAGTTTTTACTTGAGAGAGTAAATGGACAATATGCTCCCGTGGTGGAATCTTTTGGCATACTAAAATTTGTGACTGAATTCTTTAACATGCTTCAACCATGATTTGGATGCCAACACTCCAGAATTGGGAAATATATATAGAGAAAATGCTGTAGAGCTTAAAGAGATCTATGATTTGAGCATTGGATCCCCATAAGAGGAGATCTGAGGGAAAGGTTCCTCCAAAAGCTGGCTACATACTCGCTTATTTGAGGCACTTTGGGCCCAAAATCCAACTCAATGGCTTTGTGGATGAAGAATTACATTCTCAAATCACGAAACATTTGTGAGATAGGATCTAGAACAAGATATCAACAATAATATGAAAGTTTTCATTGGTGCTTTGGGACATTTAAACCCATTTCATGCTTTTACAAGTAAGATTGGTGTTCCACAATATCCCTTTTTAATTTTGTTTAGTAAAGAATATTTTGCAAATTATGTCTCATAAAAATTTGCAAATCATATTTCATAAGAGCAAAGTATCAGAATATTCAAGTTGAGCTAACCGTGAACCCTGTAAATAAGGGTGAGCTACATTTGGTGCAAATATTCAAAAACTGTTGAAGGCGCAGAGGGCTACAAAACACAATTGCCAGAATAGAGAAATGAAGTTCAGATTGTCATGGCTGGACAACCGCTTTAGATCATAGTATATCACATGTTAAAGTTTGGTTCACAAGATGATTTGGTCTAATAATCCCCTCATCAATAACAGCATGTCCCAGGTTACTTAGCTTTCTGTTTCAATGCATCAAGATCTGCCAAGCACTGGAGCATCACACAAAGTCCAGCACTTGGGATGTAGTAGTATGAGTGTCATGAACATCACGTTATATTGTCATTTATATTTCAAGTAACAATCCTACCATAAGTAGCTTATACAATAAATACCACTATATGTAGATAATAACATTGCTATCCAGATTGCATCAATGCATCCAATTAGTTTTCATGAGGGTCCATGCAGGAATCTGTTATCCCTTCAACTAATCTCTAACCTTCAAAGAAACCATAAATGATTGTAAAGAGAGTACAGAAGAAACAAATGTGCATGTTCAGGATTCAAGAACAAATGGAGAAAAAATTTACAGGATGTTGAATACAAAATCAATACCTTGGAGCTGGGAGTTGTAAGAGAAAACAATACTCAAATCTATAAAAATTATTCTAGATGCTTGCTATTGAAGAGCCTAGTGTTTATTGGTCAAAACTGAAAAGTATAACAATACACACAAGTCACAACGGACACAGCTGGAAGAAATGCAAATATGAAGTGCCAAGTTTTCCCTTGACAAACTTAATGAATGTTCCATGTATAGCATGAAGATCAAAATGCAATATTATTTTGGACCACATAGAATAAATCATATGTACCATAATCAGTCCCAACAATCACAATCACAAGCACATCCTCAAATGTGTATACACTACAAAATGCCCATGATCCTTGCCTACAAACAACCCCGTGAACAAAAACAAAATATGTCATTTTAGTCATTGACTAACACTCACCGAAAAAAATTTGATTAACATATAGAAACAAAAAAAGAATACTCAGCATACCGGTAGCTCTTCTTCTGTAAGAAGGGTGTGATGTAGAAGAATAGCCTTGCTTATTTCTCTCACATCATCTTTGCTTATTTCTACCTTCTCAGCTTCAGTAATCTCATAAACAGCTTCATTTCTACTAGTAACTAAGTATTTGCAATCATTGCCATACAATTTGGCGAACCGGTCTACTATATCTTGCTCCCAAACATCATCTAGAAATACCAAAATGCTCTTCCCAACTAAAGTTTCTTGGAGCAAGTCACATACGTCATCTAGGTCCCCATTAGTCTCTTGCAAAATCTTCTTATCACAACCAATTTGAACCAAGAACCTGGAAATTTTCTTGGCCAAACGCTTCCTATACTTGGATTTACTCCCATCACAAGCTGTTCTACTACACCATTGCCCGAGGCTTAGCTCAATAGCTCCATGAATGAACCTCTTTGGTGGATCAGAGGCCACTTGTCTAGCCAAACAAGACTTTCCAATTCCTGATAACCCCACAATAAGAACAACTTTATGAGATTTCTCTTGCTCCAATAAACTCTTCACATATCGACTCTTTTTTGAAATTGGGTATCCCTTATCAGAGCTAATCTTGAACAGTAGGGGCACACTCTTGGCCTTGGAATCAATGGCTCTCTCAATGTCTTCTGTTAATTGCTGCAATTCAAGCCAATGGTTCAGGTCTTGCCTAATTGAAAAAACCGATTTAGAGAGAGGATCACCAACCATTGAACCCCAAACTACAGATGCCAAATTCTTAACTTTGCTCTTTGACACAATCTTCTTCACTTTCCTGACATTGGGTTGTAATCTTTCGATCAAGGAGTGAAGGCTATGAATCTGGTTTTCTAATTGTGGATTATGGAGCTTTTGAGCATGTCTTTGCTTGACTCTCCCAACCAAATTTTCGAGCTCAAGCATGAACTCTTCGAGGCTTCTGATCTTACCAGGAGCTTCATCGAGGTTCCTCGAGGCTTGCTCCAGAGCGCCCACCGCACCAATCATGCTAGAAACAATCTGAGTAGCAGAGGAAACAATTTGCAGGGCATCCATTCTCTATTTATCCCAACCTCTGATGCAACCCAAACCAGGGATCAAAATAAATTCCCAGCCAAAACAAAAAACTGGTTCTTCAAATTAGGTGGCCAAATGAAAACCTGCACCGAAAAAGAATCATCAAAGCAAAGATTAGAAACCATAAAAACCATTACCTGGACTGCAAAAAACAAGAGCCCAACAGATCTTTTTCATTGAAAATATGGGGTTGGGCGACTTCCCTAGTCTAGTCTACTGTAGTTTAAACACATCACCATAGAGAGTTGAAGACTAAAACAAATAATGGAGAGCATCCAAGAATAAACTGAATGAAGTTAGAAGTTAGAAACTGAACTTCTCACCGAATGAAATCAAGGCTTGGGTACAAGGGGTCAAAGCACAACAGCGGAGTGAGGAGGAAGTGCAAAATGCAATTCATCCAGCAAGGACACTGTAAATGAGAAAATCATTAAACTTTTGCTGTTGTTTTCTTGAGAGGTGAATTTCCTTGGAGGGAGGCCAGAGCCTTTTAGTCAACAAGTTATAAAAAGTTGGCGCTTTGGTTCCAGACCATTGAGTTTTATGGGCCCATGAACAATCTCTCTCTTGAGCCTCTCTCTCACATCCTATCCTCTCTCTCGGGAGCAGGCCCCACAACAGATCCCTCTCTCTCAATTGAGTGGCCCACAAAACTCTCTTTCCAGCCATGATCGTTTATCTTCCACTGCATTTAACTTGCATTGGATCTCTTTTTCTCAAGACAATGACCCCTTTATCTCTCTCATTTCTTTTTGACCTTTTTTTCCACTTAAAGATAGTGATTCCCAGGCATCTCTGACCCATAGATATAAGTGTTAAAAGATTTATGCGCCCGTGGTAGCATTTCAACTATTTACTCCGTCTAATAGCATCCAATTTAGAAGTGATTTAATCTCAAGAATTATGGGGTATAATCACTTTAGAAAAATCAAACTCCACCCAGTATAAGTGAGGAAAAATAACATTAGTGATCATCCAATTTTTGAATGGTCTTATTTGAAGTAGACACCTCTGATGAGTCTTGGGTGTATAGCTGTCGGAAATATTGGGTGTGGGTGCGACTAGGGCTTTCAACTTTGTTGGAGGCATTTGAAATCAAATTGAAGATAGATTTTCTTGTTTATCAATATGCTATGGTAAGATAATATTTGCCCCTTGGTAATAATTAAGTGTATATTTAATGTGTGGGAATGACAAAATTTAAAAGCACCAGAATTGCCTTTCATTTAGAAAAAAGAAGTTTTTGAAGAAGAGCAAACTTGTAAAAGGTTGTCCTTTGGGTGTGAAAACGAGTCCCATTTATAGAAATTGTTCATCTTTGGTGTTTCAAAAACCGCATATCCTTTTTTTGTTTTTCTTAACCCAATTACAACCGTTTGTAATTGGTCTCCTAACAGCTATAATTGTTCGTATTGAGGCATTGCACACCAAGTGTCTGACACACGAGTCGGCCAACACGTGTATGCATCTCCTCACAATCACTAAGCAACAAAGAGCTTAGTTGCACGACATCCAACACGACACCAATCGCCCATGCTTACTGTGTCACAACTCTCATAACTTATCGCAAAGTGGGTTAGCGATTTCATGCAACGGTTGTATCATAGTATAATGCAACCACACTGATCGGGGTGCTTGGGTTCGCGCTCGCATTCCCCCCTCTCGGACAACTACGTGGCCTCATGAGTGTCGCGCTCGCATGTCTCTCGTGGTATCACTTGTGTGTTGATAGGCAGGTCCAACTTTGTGAGAGGACTTTAAAGAATGAAGAGCCTACCTCACCGTGGTTGGCGTCGTGGGAATAGCCCAGGCAAAAGCGCCCTCTTAGATCACTTCACGAAAGCCCTCCGGCTGTCTGCCATCGTGGTTTGGTGGCATATCCCTTTCAAACATCAGTAATTCATCTCAACTCTTTCTCATAAACTACTATGGGAATTCAGGTAAAAATGCTCCTCGTTCAATAGGTTTGATGAGTGAATAGCTCTGGTATGATTTAGGAAGAGGAAGGGAGAAAAGTCCTCTCACTACTTGAATACCTTGTAATGAGGCGGTTGAGACAGCGAGACAATAAAATTCTAGAGAAAACTAACTCAAGATGACTACAATTCGAGTAAAAGGCTGCTAGAGAAACAATGTCTCTTGCAACCTCAACTTACTATATGAGAAGGTAGTTAGAGCAATAACCTCAAAATTAAGCTTCTAAAACACTATCCTTTGACCCCCTGGATTGACTGTTTCAAGTGATGAGAAAGATGATTAACAAAAGAAAAGGGAAATGTGCATGGCAAAGCGCAGGTGGACAGATGCGCGTCAAGGCACGGGATGATAGGTGCGCATCAAGGCACGGGAGGGCAGGTGCGCATCAAGGCGCGAGAACACAGGTGCACGTCAAAGCGTGGGAAGACGGGAGCACGACAAGGTGCGAGAGGACAGGTGCGCATCAAGGACGGGGAAGACAGGTGCAAGTCCAAGTGCGGGAGGACGAGTGCACGTCAAGGAGCGGGAGGACGAGTGCGCATGAAGGCACGGGAAGACGGGTGCTCGTCAAAGCATGAGAGGACGAGTGAGCGTCAAGGTGCGGGGAGGACACGTGCGCATCAAAGCACAGGAGGATGGGCGTGCATCAAAGCGCAGGAAGACAAGGTGCGCATCAGCGCGAGAGGATGGGTGTGCGTCAAAGCGTGGATGGGTGTACGCCAAAGCGCGAGAGGCTGGGCGTGCATCAAAGTGCAGGAGGACAGGGTGTGCATCAAAGCGCGGGAAGAAGTAGAAAAGGTGTAGGACTTGCCCTAGGCGCAGGTCGAGGGTCCTAGGCGGTAAGGGATGAGAAAGGCAGGGAGGTGAGAGAAGGAGTAAAGGAGAGAGAGTAGACTTATGGTACGTGTGTACCTTTGTGAGTCCCCTTTGAAGCACGTGAGAGAGAAAGTTTGAGTCTTGGTTGAGTGTGGTGTATAGGTTGGGTGTGGGTGGAATAGGGAATGGGCTATGGTGTATGGTGGTTTAGAGGTATTTATCTCTCTAGGAAAATGTTTCTCTCTCCTCTCTCGTTGGTCTCAAACTCACAAGCAAAGAAAACAAAACAAATAAGTAAAGCATTCCGAATGCTTCAAAAAATTAGACCAACCTTCTAATTTTCAACTTTCATTCTTTTTACAACCAACCAACCTCTTTTTACAAGTGACATGGGTTTTCTTATATAAAGCAACCACTAAAAAGTGGTGGAATGCTCAAAAGTATCCCAAATTGTCAAAAAATACATAATTAACAAATTAAAATAATCATCCCAAAATTGGATCAAATGACCAAACTTCCCTAAGCACTTTTGATTAAATGAAAAAACCATCCCTCCATAAGGGACCTCTTGCCATGGCTAGTGTGCGGTAGTTTTTTCGGACACCTACGATGGTAATTCGGGCAATCAAATGTTGTAGAATTGATGCTTGCATTCTTATGAACGTTTTGATACCCTTTAATTGCCTTGTAAAAGATTTTTGAGGAAGAACCCAAAATCCGATCAAGTTCATGAGCTTTGCAAATCGTTAACCATCAATGTAGCTCGATTTGTGATATTCCAAGTCTTCATTTCTTACACAAATTTTAGAAGACACTGTCACAATCATTTTGCAGCAATTTTCATCCATTTTGGTCTAGAATTAAGCTCTTTCCAATTTTGGGAGGTTAATGGAAAATGGGTTTCCAACTACCAAAACATTACGCCTTTCTTCAACCACAAAATTTGCATCATCCGGCTTCCAATTGTGTATAAGACTTGTACCAAACTGTAGCTCTTCGACATATGATCACAACAGATCCATTTTTGTGATGATCCTTCATTGGAATCTTGAGCTATGGCCTTCCAAAGAATCAGATGTTTTCTTATGAATTCGCACATTTTTTAGCACATATTCTCTCTAGAAATTCTCTCACTTTAGGTCACGATAAGATGCGTGCCTTATGTCAAAATGATCGAGCCGTCAAGATCTACCTCATATCCAAATTTTAGCTTGATCAGACTAAAAACGAGTTAGATATGATCATTTGAAATTCACCCGAAATGAGTAGACAAAGTTTCATAAATAGAAATTGGTTCGCTGAGGCCGCATCGCTATAGTGTAAAACCTACACGATAATTTAGGCCTATAATGCTCCCTAAGGGTCCAATTGAGCCAAAATTTGGCAGGGTTTTTCAACGTTCCAGATTTAATAACGGTAGTCTGGTACTGTTTTGAAACCCATAAAATAGGATTGTAGTTATAGGGTCCACTTTCAACATGATTGGGGCTAGTCTTGAAAATCGAGTTTCATTCTGATCATATCAAAACTTATCAGAATGTGACGAAACTTTGCCGATGTCTTTAGGATATCCCAAACTACCATTTTCATGCATTTTGAAGACATTCCAATACTTCTTTTGAGGTCGTCTAGTTTCAGGCTTATTTTTGCACTATTAATGTGGTCTAGTGGTGTTTTGCATACCGGTAGGACCAGGTTGTTACTGACTCTCTCCTTATTTGTCCCGAGGATACAAGTAAATAAAAAATACCAAATGCTAATCTTTGAGAAAAGCGAGAAGTGCAGCATTCGAAACAAAATTTTGTTGACGTTCATCTTTCGAATCCTTATTGTTGCCTCTCAACAATTTTTTTCTTCTCGATCACCGACATCAACACTATCCTTGAGGGGGAGACAATGCTAAGCTTCTTCCCTTGTCTCCCCCGAGGGGATGACCGAAGTGAATTCTAGCAACCTGTAGGCCTTGTTTAAGGGTTTCTTTCCCAATGTCACTAGAATCCGTTTTCTGAGGAGTGTGCCGAATGGGGGCCTTGTAGAAGGCCTTACCGTGTCTTCCTCAACAACACTTCCTAATAATCCAGCTGGTGGGTGCCCTTGGGGCTTTCCTCCCAATCCAGTGGTTTGGAACACTCAGTCTCTACGTGAGTGCCTTTTCAAAGGCTTGCTCCCACATCAAAAGACCTTTTATTGCACCAGCAGAGGGTCCTCGAAGGACTTTGTCCTAGTGTGGCGAGAACTTCTTATTTTTCTCTAAGTTAGTGCCTTTTCAAGGGATTTATCCCACATTAGAAATTTTCTTGGAACAACAGCTGAGTGTCCCCCAAGGACTTTATCCCCCTGTGGCCAGAACTTCTTCTTTTCAAGGGCTTTCTCCCACATTAGGAAAAACATTTATTGCTGCAACAGCACAGTGTCCCTGAAGGACTTTAATCCCCCTGTGGCCAGAGCTTCTTCTTTTCTCTAAGTGAGTGCCTTTCTCTTACATTAGAGGGTTTCTTGACACAACAGCTGAGTGTCCCCGAA